CTTTTCAATATATTTATTCAAGCTTTCAATATATTTTCACAGCGTTGTCTCCTCTGAATAGGATAGAACACCAAAGCTTTCTCCTTCCAGAGCAACGTCCAGCAGTACAGACAACAAGTGCAGATAAAAGTTTTCAGTGGTCTTAAACAAACTTGTTTCTCTTTCCTGTGCCAATTTCAATACGATCCGCCCTCTTTTTTCTTTTCTTTTCTTTTTTTTTTTTTTTTTTGGTTAAGTAAATATTACAGCTTCAAGCTTCCCATCCAAGAAGCTACTCTAAGCGAGCGGTGAGTAACAGGCAGAACAATTACATTCTTTTCCACTAGAGGGCAGTACAACTCCTTGCTCCAATTAAATGGGTTGCCAGAAGAAGACAAAGAAGAAATTACTACAAATGAGACCACGCAGCACGTGATCTGCTGGCCGGACTGACCAGTTTATCGTGAGGACAAAAATGAATTTTTCTTTAACCTAGTTTGTCACAGAAGGACGTTTGTAATCCAGAGGAGAAAATTATTATGATTAATGTTCCCAATTACTTCATCTTAATAAATAAATACAACACAACCTGCGTTTGCCTCTTTGATCCATTTCTTTGTTCATACTCAAATACCGTGAACTGGCTTTTGAGTATGCACAAAGAAATGAACACATCAAGCTGCTTGTGCCTTTATATGTTCTGCCAGTTCTTTCTCTATATGGTCGTCAAAGACTGGACAGGCAAGTGCAGTTCCTTTATATCCTTTAATGGCCTTGTTTCTTTTCCATCTATCTTTTTCTTCTCCATAGATCGTTTTAATGTCATCCTGCATATGTGCATCTTCTTCGCCACCTGAATGGACTTCCCCTTCTCCACCTTACTCACTATAGTTCACAGCTCTGTTTACGTCCTCTAACGGAGTGGAAGCTCTGCCTGTCCTCTACATTATAACTCTGTGGCATAACTACAGGCGTATAGACTCATAGTGTGGCTTACAAAAGGACTAAAACATTTGTGAAATGTTTTCAAACTTGTTTAAAACAGACAAAACAATCAAAACACCTTGATCACAGAAATTTTACCTGGAAAGGCAAAAATCACTTGAACTTAAATGTGCTTAATTCTCATGCAACGAGGCGGTTCTTTGCAGGATGAGAAAAATGTCGGACTCTCCATAAATGTGCGGTCACATGATCAATTTCTTCCCTAGAAACAGGGTGTGACACAACTCCCTCGATCTGTTCTGCTATTTTACACTCGATCATAAAGATTTTCACATGAAACAGAAGACAAGCACAGTTGTTACTAATCGCATTCCTTAAGTCTAAAAGCAGTGCAGGCTAAATCTAGATTTTATTGTCATGAGAGGACTGAGCCTGTTTTATCGTTTCCGGTAATATCATATATCAAACTCTGCATATTTTCCAGAAATTTCACTTTATTTTAGCACTTTTGTTCTACATCACGTGTCGTAACGCGTCAGCACGCCTACCTGCCAAGATGGCGATTCTAGCCACGCCTTTAAACTTCACCTGGCCTCAACACTCCCTCCTTGCTGGCACACGTTCACATAGGGAGTGGACTCGTTGTGTCAACAGCTGCTCCGTGAGCTTGATGTAACGCAGAGGAAAATGTGGCGTCCCAGCTCCAGACAAGAAGCGATGAAATGTGTCCGCTGATTTTATTTTTGTTTTTTCTCTCAGGATTGAAAGTTTCAGAGCTTCACTGTAGGGCAGCATGTCCGTATCAACAGGCGCGGCCCTTCTGTGGATTTTACTTCTTACGTTCATCGTGTCCACCGTGTCAGGTAATCCGAACCTTAAATATGAAGCAGGGGGAGAGATTTAGTGTGAAATATTGGTGGGGTGGCGGATCTGTCCGTTAAATATTGACACTGTCTTCACTCAGAAGCTGAAAACAGCTGAAGCAAGAAAATCCCTTTCAAGAAGCTCCCAGAGTGTGTCATTTGATATGGGCTGTGCCGGTTTTGCCCCTGTGTAAATTTGAATAACAAACATTTCAGTGTAAACTAGGTTATGGCCGACCCAGAGCCCTGACTGAAGCACCATATTATGTGCTGAGCTTGCTCAGGTTTACTCAGTACAGACCTGCTTAGTCACAGGAAGACTTAAGACAAGCTTCATCCATCACAGCAGTCAGTTTTATTTGTGAATGGAATTTCACTGTGTTATTTCCAGATATGACACAGGTCACACATGTTTATCCCTTCGCTCACTATAACTCTCTGTTTGCTTCCAGGGGCCCAGAAGTTGACTCTCACTGCTGAACCTGGAGCCACTATAAACATCAGAAATAATAATCAGGTCAAAGGTTGCCAAGTGTGTACAGGATCAGGAAACACACAACATTGCAGTATTGAATCTCTGAACTCATTCAGTGGAAGTACTGTGTCAGTGGAGCTTGAATGCTCCAGACCTCAAGATGTATTCAGTATAGAAATTGTACGGCGTATAAGTAAGTGTCTGTGTGATATCTGATTATTTTATCAGTGAGACTGAAAGTCCTGAGTGGACTAACGCAGTATGAGTGGATTCATTGTCTCTTTTCAGATTGCACCACGAAGTCATGCAGTGGTCACATCATCCAGACGGACTCCAACTCTGTTGATGTGCTGCGTTTTAACCGCACGTTTACCTGGAATCTAGCGGCCGCAGCGCCAAAAGCTTTCCAAATAGATTTCACTAACACGGGTCTTAAACAGATCAATCCATCTGAGAAATGTCCAGACAGACACACCTACACCCTCCAGGCCTTCCAGTCTACAGGCAATGTGGCTGTGGGGAAGTACTGCAGAAGTGGCACCATCAGCAGTGCTCAGATTTTGAAAAGCGGCAGCTTTTCTGTGGACGTCCCAGCAGAGCAGAAGCTGCAAAATGACAAGTTTGATGTGACTGTGCGGGAAAAAATCAAGTGTGAGTTTACATTCATTGTTTTGTGTTTCTTTCAAAATTACAGTGTCATTTAACAATTTTTGTTTTAATTTCAATTTATTTGGTGTGTTGTGTGTGTTGTAGCTCTTGCCCGAATTTCTCTGACTTTACCAAAAGGGACCTCTTCCTCAGAGCTGCTCTCGCCAGACTACCCAGAGAGTTTTCCTGATGACGACACCATGGAGTGGTACTTTCAGGTCCCAGACAAACACGGGGTTGATCTTCAGTTTCTAAACCTCACACAGCCAGATTGTGTGAAGAAGGAAGTAGCAGTGGAGTACCACCAGAAAGGCAGGGTGACATCGGTTCTGGGGCTAAATGACACACAGCCGCTCCAGAACCAGGGAGACTTTTTGCTCACGCTGAGGAACTGCGAGATGGAGAGAGCACAAGCTGATTCTCCTGGACTCACCTTCACCCTCAAGGTGTCTGCTTCCAGCCCAGCTTCAACAGGTCTGTATCATATAAGCACTTTGTGGAGCATTTGGTAACAAAAGTGTGAGTTGGTAGAGACCAAAAATGGAGCTGAAAGAAGATTGCGTATTGGACTTGTAATTAATCAAAAGGCCATAACAAGACTACAAGTGAATACTGAGGATGTCTTGAAGGTGTGTTATTATGTGCAGTGACATGTGTATATGTCAAACCTTTTCTATGTTTGAGCAGCACAACTGTGTAAATACATACCAGACTTTACAGATGTGTAGCTGATGAGTGCAGTCTGACCCACAAGTAAGCAACAAGCACCAGAAGCATGTTAGTCACAGGGGTTAAAAGCTCCATCACATTATGTCTTTAGTATTATTAAAGAGGGTGAGCTCAGATAGTCTGGTCTGTGGTTTCTCCCACTGTAAGGTGTTGGGGGATGCTGATGCTTCGTCTGACTCCAAGTGTTTCAAACACGTAGTTACTAAGTGTAGCTCCATTTCCAAAACCGATTAATAATGTGTGGGTCCCACATGGCTAAATTTAGTACTGCAGTTTCTTTTGTACAGTGGTTTTGCTGTTGGGGAGATGTGTGCTGCCTGCTCTGCATGTGGCAGCATGTACTTGTATAAATAGTTTCTTTCTTTTTTCTTTTTCTATCATCTTAAAGGTTACAACAAAGGTGCAGTTTGATTAGTCAGTGGTATGACAATGTTCCCTTTCTTGTAATATTTGTGAATAGGAGGGACTTGGGAAGTGTGTCTTATGGCCTGTTTCTGAGCCCAGGCAAACTCTTAAATTGCCTAATCTCTTAGTCATGTATGACAGCACTGATAAATTTCCAGGAAAGTTTGAGGAATCACATTTGTTGTACGTGCTTTGTTTTGTTGCCCCCACCCCCTCCAGTGCCATGTAGAGTAGATCTCAGCAAAACTGAGGGCCTTTCTCTGAACATTTCCACGGTGACATCGACCCCTGACTGCGTGATGAAAATAAACTCGGCGAAAAAAGACAACATCACAGTCACATCAAGTGCTGATCTGTCTTTTGAGGACTGCTTTCCTGGCAACATGGAAGTCAGAGCCACGCAAGTCATAGGTAACTCAAGATTTACTTAAACTCTCGTTTCATCAGCTGTTTAAGCCTCACTGTGTAAAATCCACGGATGTAGCATCAATAATTCATTATAATACTTTTGTCATTTAATCTGAATCATCTTGGATTTGGCTAAAAATTCTATGGTCCAAAGTTTGAACATATATTTAAAATGATTGCTGTGAATTTTTTACATAATATATTAAATAATTTTAAAAATATAATTTTTGAGAAATAGTCTGACTTCCAGCGTGTTTCTCATTTTAAAATCGGAGGCAATATTTGAATATCTCAAAAGAAATTTTTACTGGTTTTTCTTAACATAATTCTGGAAAGTGAATGGTGGGATCTTTAAAAAAAAAAAAAAAAAGTATTTCTTATACCAAGGCGAAGTTCATTATTTACTTTTAATCCATATAATTTTCAGGCAAATCAGAGTTGGTTCAGCTGAAAATATTCAAAATTGTGATTTTAAGACGGAATAATAATAATAATACTAATGAAGGCGTTTAAAATGCATTGTAATATAGTGTAATTTCAGGATAAATATTCACTGCTGTTTTAGATTTGTTACTAAGTTATATTTTATTATATTTTATTTTTCAGTTTATATACACGCCTCCTAATTTGGGTGCTCAAAGGAGATGTTACAGCTGTTGGCAAATACATTAGTACTCGCATGTGCTTACAGGTTCATTAAAGTTAGTTCAGACCATGTGTTTAAAAACATCTGTACTACCTTCTACTAAAAGTGCTTCTCATTGTACTGTAAAGAACTTTATCAGTTTCATTTGAGAACCTCTTTCCGTTCAGATTGTAGTTCTGGTAAATGTCCTGATCCAGTCAGTCTGTCGGTGCCTCTGCTGCCATCATGCCTCCCTGCACCTCTGAGCCGTGTGACGTGGATACTGCGTCCCGGTCAGCACGGCACGGTAAAGCTGATTTCTCCCACCGGGCCCCTCAAGCAGTCCCTACCTGGACAGCTATGTGATGACAGCATCACTATTGACGTGGCAGAAGAGAATGGAGCAACTATTGGGAGCTTCTGCCCCAACGGAGCCATACAGACCGTCCACATTCACACAAGTGTGTCTGTCACATGGTGGTCCAGCATGAATGCTAAAGCACCAAGATCGGCCGTGTTGAATGCCAGTTTTGAAAAGGAGATTACAGGTAAAAACAAGCACACTTGAAGGGGATAAGCTGAATAAAATAAGAACATTAAATAACCATTAATATTTCACATTGTTTTCTTTTTGCAATAACCTTCAGAAAGATACATATTCACCGTTTCTCCAAAGAGAGACACCCCAGAACTTGTGGCTACTCCAGCTTGGCCAGCGGGAATGAAGGCCTACTCCACCGTCTCCTGGATTGTCTCAGTTCCTCCGAAGATGGAGGCGCAGCTGATTTTTACCAAGCTCAGCCAGCCCAAGTGCATCAACCGCCACACCAACATCCGGGTGCAAAGAATGGGCAGCCCCAAGGAGGACTACAGCCGCAGGGAGGATGAGGTGGCCAATAGCGAGCTCACGGTCTCTGAGAGCTTCTACCTCAACATGTCCAACTGTTTGCCTGAAAGAGGAAACTTCAGCGTAATTACCAAGATCTCCCTGCAGAAGAGCAATGGTAAGAGGAAACTTTACAGTTACTTAATCTATATCATAATTTTCTGATTTTTAAAAAATAGATATATAATTCTCAAGAATATTTCAATGAATTTCCATGAAAATTTGTCCAGACACTCAAGGTCCTCTGGCTTTTGAAGACGAATGTGACAAACTTTAATTTTCAGCATGCATCAGCTTGTTTCTGTTGCCTTGATAAGGATGTTAGCCAGCTGAACATTTCGGTCAATACACTGTTGTGCATATGTAGATGAAAGATGCATCCTGGCAAGCATCATCAGTGATCTTTCCTAGATTCCTTGGGTGATTCGGATTGGCGACCCAGCCAGGGATTGATCAGGTCCTGACATTAAGCCTCAGATTTCCCCACTTAATCCACCTGGAGGCTCCATCAGCTGCTTCTTTTGCAGTCCTGATAGCTGTGTTTCTGTGTGGTCTCTTCACGCCTGGCAGGGTGAGGACTCTGCAGCCTACTTCAACAGGAAGATGACATTGTGCTCGCCACCTTTTTCTGGCAGTCCTCCCGAAACAAGTCCTTAAAACTTGGCCAGCTTGCTTTCAAAAGCCTCCTCCAGGTGATCCTACCAGTGCACAGTCAGTTCAGTCAGGGCAGGTTGTTTTAACGGCTCTGAAAGAATGACAGTATGTGTCACCGGTGATGTGTCACAGAAACATGACTTGCTTGCCCAGACTGAGCACTGGTTCCCAGTTGTGTGAAGTGAAGACTTTGCTCTGTTCTGTGCTTTTGGTTTCTCATTAAGAAATGAGATTCATACACAGACTTGCCGTACAGCTGGAGGTGTGATGGGCTGGTAAAATGTCATACGCAGTTTGTTGAGGAATTTAATTTGTTGGTGCTCTGCTCGCCAGATGTATTTACATAAAGTATCATCACTGACTGATTGGCTTTAGTATTTTGCCTAAAGAACTGCTGCAGCTGTAGCATGCAGGAGTATGAAGCTGTAGTATGGCTTCAAAGTTGGGAGCGTGGAGGTCATGGATACTGAAACTGTTTTCTTTTTTTAACCTTCGTGCAAAGTTTTATTCTGCTTTGCTGATTTTTAATCAATGTTCTGTTTACGCAGTTACTTTCCTTCTTTCTCTCTTGTGCAAGAAGAAAGCTCCAGTACCAGGATTGTATTTATCTATATTTTTATTAATTCTTCAGCTTCAGGAGGCAGCAGCCTAAGCAAGGACACCCAGAACCTCCCTCTTCCCAACTACCTCCTCCAGCTTATCTGGAGGAATACTGCTGCATTTCCAGGCCAGCTGAGAGATGTAATCTCCCAAGCATGTCCTGGGTGTGTCCTAGGGCATCATTCCGGTGGGAAATTCCGGAAACACTTCAGCCAAGAGGTTCCCAGAAGCCATCCTAGTCAGATTCCCGAACCATCTACCTCTCTCTAAGGGAGAGACCTCCCACCCTTCAGAGAAAACTCATTTCTTTTAATCACTGCCCAGAGTTTGTGACCATAGGTGAGGGTTGGATGGTAGATCAACCGGTAAATCGAGAGCCTTGCTGTCATACTCAGCTCTCATTACCACAACGGATTGATGCAGTGTCTGCATCACTGCAGGAGCGTCCACCATCCGTCTGTCAATGTCAGGGAAAAATGTGATAGAAAAAGCTAACTATGCTGTTTGTTGCCATTTTTTTCTTTCTAGGCCTTTTACTAATCAACATCCTGAGTGTGGTGGCTGCTCTGCTGGTCATTTTTGTAATGGTGCTGGTTGTGGTCTGTGTGGTGATTAGGTGAGTATTACTCTTTTATCCTTTGTTCTTTGAGTTTTATTATTTTTCTTTACAGTTAACATGGGTATTTTCACATTGTTTACTTATCTGCTCTCCTCAACCTGCTAGAAATTTTTGTCCTTCATCGAAATTGATAGCGAAATTTATCAGTAAATTTAATTTAAAAAACTCCGATCTTCTTTCCTGCCAAACAGGAAGAAGAAGAAGAAGAAGAAGCTCAATCACGAAGTCTCTGTCTATAATCCAAATGGCATCAACTTCCTGCCAGGATACAACGGACCCCCGAAAACACACGAAGACGATGACGCTCACGTGTACACCTCCATCGACGACACACTCGTCTACACACACCTGCTGAAAAAGGGTGCAGATGTTGGCTTCTATGGAGAAACATACCAACATTTCACGGGACACACAGACTCTCAAAAGCCACTGCTCTCGTCACAGAAGGGTCCTCCACTTCCCAACAGGTCTCCGAGCCAAGACCAAACCCTGATGGACCAAAGTGAGGACGAACAGTCTTCAAATCTGGGGCCTCGGCTGGAACCAGAGGGCGGCAACTGAGCAGAAGATTGGACTCGACTTTTTGATTTTTCTTTTGACCCACTTGAACTTTGGGATATTTATTCCCCGTGTGTTTGCTCGCTGTTCAGACCCCCAAAAGACACTTTTTTGTATTGAGTGCAATACTTTTGCACTAAAGTGAGGCGCACACAAACAGCTTCCAAACCTGTCTGCAGCTGTTACAGCGTTTTGTCTCAGGTTAAGGTTCTTCTTTTTCAAAAGCAGCACTTAATCATTCCTTCTACACAGGTTTTTAGTTTTTATAAAGAGGTCTTCTGTTGCTTTCAGGAAATGAACGTTTTCCATTTGTGATATTTTGTAAATACATCGTTATCAGAACACAACGGTCTGGACTGCAGCAGCCGTATGTTGCAGCAGCATGTCCTTCTGTTGTTCATTGTTGCTTTTTGTTTTCTAGCTGTAGCGTCATTACACCATAAATGAGCCTTACATATAGGTCAGGCTCCCTTTAGAAATTAGTACGGATCTTATAGTTGTTTTCAGTCATTTGTGTTACTGGGACGGTGCCAAACTGAAACCGAGCATTGGAGAAGCTCGAGCCTAAAGTGCTACTAGTTCATACTGAGACTGTATATCATGATCAGTAGTTAAAAAAACCTGTTTCACCATTTGTTATGAGGACAGACACAGCTTTGTTTGGATTACAATGGGGAAAAATATACATTTATTTGCAGTATATCAGAAGCTGCATCTGCCATAAAATGTATTTATTTAGTAGTGAGCTGTAATATGTTGCTGTTTAAATGTCCCTTATGAGCCTAAACACAAAAGAGAAAAGTTTTCTTTCAAGGCATGCATCTGTCCTCTTTGAGGAAAAGTGCTTCAGAAGGACTTTGGTCTTGAAAATTCCTCTTCCCTGCGGAGTGTGGCCATAAATGTTTTACAGTCTCAGTGGCTCACAGTGAGTAAAGAAACTTTAGAGGAGCCTTTAAAATCCGGAAATTTGGGGAAATGTTCAGACTTGTTGATCTGTCGCCTTCATTTGGGTGAGTAAAGTACTTTGAATGCAAACACAAAATGTAGTGTGTGTGTGTGTGTGTGTGTGTGTGTGTGTGTGTGTGTACTCATCATACTGTCATCATTCTCGCATAGTGAATAGGCTGGATTTAATTCCAGTATAAATTGGACAGGTGGGAGTCTTGCGTTCATACTGAATCAGTTGCACAATGAATCAGTCAACTTGGCACACCTATTTAAAAACCAAAACAAAAACAAAAACAACCCCATGCTTTGTTTTTGTTTTGTTTGTTTAGTTTATTCATGGAGGAAATGAATGTATGATCTTATGATGTGACCGTGAAAATGACAACAATCATAACCCAGGTTTTATTTATTACCTTTGGTTGTAATAGATTTGTTACAAAAGCTTTTTTCTGTATGAGGAGTAGTACATTCACATTATATCTGCTGTTGTTTGTTTGTTTGTTTGTTTTACATCAGAGAGAAGAATAAAATGGTAAACATGTTCATTAATATCCTGTAATAAAACATGAGAAGCATAACTTAACATTTTAAATAAAGAAGGTGGCACAGAAAAGGCACTTTGTAAAAAGAACTTAGTAACTCAGTAAGAAAAGATTTTGTTGCATTAACTGGCGGCTAGTAAGAGAAAAATAAAGACAAACCCTCCAGTGTTTACCTCAATGAATATTTAAAGCATTGTTTATGGAGTGTATGTACAAGTGGGTGTAGCTTATACAAAGAGCACCAAGTGAAATCTCTGCTCTGGACTGACATCTGGAAGGCTTGGCCGAGAAAATGCAGGCTGATTAAAGATGCAGCGCATTATTTTTCAGCGCATTTCATAATGTTGCACTTCATGCTTACAAAGCAATGTCAGAGACTGAAAAACGGAGCAACAGATGGTCTCTCAGACGATGTTGAACTCGCACACAGACGCCTTCTCAGCCCTGCAGTTCTCATCGAACCACTTCCCGTTGGCCGTGATGGAGAGGACGGCGCAGTTCTGGCTGGATCCCCCATCTGGCTGCTGGGTGATTTCAGTCTCCCAGTTTTTGAAGCGCACATTAGAGCCTGATTGGTCAACCCAGTGGCCATCGGTAACCATGTCATTAATGCCCAGCCAGATGTGCTCATCGGGGCCGATGCTCTGACGTACGTAGCTGTAGAGATGGTCGTTTTCGTCTCCTGTTAGAGGAGTGCTTAGGCTGCCTCCTTTGGCGATGCAGTCTTCACTGGCGGCATGGAAGGATTGTTTCACCAGATTGGCCAGAAAACACTTTCTGTGGCTCTTTGTGCCCTTTAGACAAACTGATAGAGAGGGAATTATGAGGAAGTGGTCAAAAGCCCTGGATCTGTTTCAGCTCTCCATCTCTAGAAAGCTGTTTAACTAGAAAATGACATGCAGCCTGCAAACTGAAGCAAATACTTGAGTGGATTGTGCAACTTTGGGGCATTCTTTACAAAACATCTAACTGCATGGTGTTTGTGAAGAAGTCTACACCTGTTTGTAAAGCTTGCTGCTCTTTCAGCACGGTCAGATCCCGAGTAATGTCATCAATTTGCCTCTGCAGATTCTCAATTGTAGAGTTGATGGCAGATTCTGCACAAAATTACCGAAACAAACAAACAAAAAAACAAGGTGAACTCTAACAATACTGTCCTGTAGAAGCCACTGATTTTATATTCAGCTGGTGAATATGAAGTCCTACCTTTTTTGCCATTTCTTTTCTTCGAGTTCTGCTGGGGTGAGCCGTGTGCCAACAAGAGAAGGCAGAGCACCATCCAAAGTCCTCTAGCATCCATCATACCTGGAAAAAACACCTTAAATCCAATGCAGGGAGCCTGTTTTGGTGCAGCACAGCTTCTGAGCGCTGGCCAGACTGTGGCGTTTTACACACTCGGGCTGGAGGCACAGAGCTGAGTGAGGAAATCTTATCTGAGAGAGAACAAATGTTTTACAGATGTTTGACAGAGGTTTGTGTTGCTTTTGAAAGGCTGAGGCGAGATGGATGGGGAGCAGCTTTTTGTATTTAACAGTGTTCAGACAAGCATGGCTGGTTTTTCCATATGTTTGTAAGACACCAATAAATTACAGATATCCTTTTGTCTTTTTGAGTGTGCAGTCATTTATTACATTAATAGAATTTAACAGGATCGGCATGTTGATGAAGCTATTTTGTCAATTACCTGCATCGGTTTTTGTTTAACGGCAACAACTATTAAAATGACGAACACATGAAAAGGCTTTTATCTTAGTTGTTTGAACTGTCGATCTAATCTCTTGTTTTCCTGTCACAGAGCCAGCTGTATTCCTTTTAAGGGCAAAAGGTTGGATTTTTTTTTTTTTGGGGGGGGGGTCCACAGCTTACATCTGGATCGCCTAAATGAGCTGGAGGGTGTGTAGCTGACATGTGGCAGAGACTTGTGTAATAAGTAATTTCACTATTGTGAAATTGACTTTAAAATGTTTCTGGAAGCCCATAGAGTTTTACTGACCATCAGCCAGCAATGAAAGGGAAGACTGGCCAAGACTCCAACCAGTCACTATCCACAGAGCCACATTTCACAGAGCCTGGCAAACGCAAGCAAACAGAATTATCATTCTCACGTGTACAGTCGTTAAAAATAATGAAAATGCAAACTCGGATGAACAGCAACACATGACATATTACACCAGAGGCAGTGTGGAAAAATCCCACGATTTAACCACCTCTGGCAACACTAACTTGAAGTAATTGTACTCTGTATGACTTAATCAGACTCTCAAGTTGTGGAGGATTTTTTGTCCATTCTTCTTTACAGTGTTGCTTCAGTGCATTCAGGTTTACAAGCTCATTATTCAGGCTGAGGTCTGGAATTGGCTGGACCACTGCAACATGCTGATTCATTTCTCGTTCAGATAATCTGTTGTAGATTTGCCGATGTGCTGCGATCATTGTCATGTTGTATGACTGTTCTATCCAAGCTTTAGGTGTCAGACAGACAGCTTAAGCTCACATTTGACAAGTTCTTTGGCATACCGACAAATTCATGGTTGACTCAATGACTGGAAGGTGCCCAGGTCCTGTAGCCACAAAACAAACCTAAATCCCCCGTTGTTGAAAATGGCAGCACATATGCTGGAGAGGCAACAAGTAGTCCTCCCCCAAAAAGGGAACAGTTTGCAGGCAGTGGAGAGAGAAATGCAGCCCATTCCTCCCTCCGTATCCCGGCTGACTGATTTTTCTCTACAGTTGCAGTTTGTTTGTTCTCCTCCAGCCAATTCAAGCTGCACAGCTGCAGCTTCTCCAGGATGGCATCAATTCAGTAGCAGGATGGGTATGTGTTCATTTGTGTGAGGTGGAACAGGATGAGCACTGCAGGTTATTTATGTGCATATTTTTGACAAAATTGTCAGACACAGACTCCTTAAGCATAGCAAGATATTAAATAAAGGGGATATGGGTGTTTAGGCCATCTATCTATAGTATTTTGTACATTTTACTTGCATTTTGTATTTTTGTTGCAAACCACTGACTGAAAATCAAGGCGCATATATTTCTCGGTGATGCTGTTTGAGGTAGAAGTGCTGGTGCTTATTGTCACTATAGTGAGCATTCCCAAAAAGTTGATCCTGTCCTTATGAACGTAGCGTTTCAGTGGGATTTCCTTACCTGGATAATTGAGCATGCATCAAGATATAGCGAGCATTGTTTGAAATTAAGAAACGACACGATTTTATCAATATCATCAATATTTTATCAAGAAAATATTTACAAAATAAATAAACATGGAAGCGGGTTCTGTGGTTTAGTAACATGACATTCAATGAAAATAAGTCATTTATAATGTACAAAAGTTCAGCCAAAGGCAAAGGCAGCTTGTATAAAGTAATACATAGAGAACAGCAATGCCCATTGGTAGTGTACGCCGCCCCATGCACAGAGGCAAGAGTACAGACAGTGCGTGGGTCACAATTCACTCAAATGCATAGTTAGTAAGTTAATCAGTAAATATCAGTCCAGACTAAATCACCTCAGCCATCAATACAGTACGTCATCTTCTATGAAATTATAACAATCATGTTTGCAGTGTGCTAAGATGAAAGCAGATGGCTCCCCTCTGTCTGCGGCTACATGGAAAACTGAACTATATGATAGTTTTGTGTTTATAAACACAGGTTTCAGATAATCTGAGTAATCTTCATCATTTTGTATTTAATTATTTGTATCTTGTTCCCTTAGAGCTCTCTCATCTGTTTCAGGTGCTACTGTAATAAATACTATCTTGTGGTTCACTCTCCTCTTTTTTAAAATTCCTAAGTTCTTTTCTGTGTAAGCTTATCAGTTTAGAAGCTTGTTAACATTCACTATTACGATCCTCTATCACTGCAACATCTGTATCAGAGCGCTTTGTGCATCGCGTTCTCCGCTCCGTGTACAGCTCAGCACTTCCGATAAACACAAAGCCGACCGCGGTGCAGCTTTGCTCTAATCAATAAGCAAAGCTCAGTGCACGGCCAGCCTACATTTCTTATATAATTGACTAACTTAAGATACACTATCACCCTGCGAGACAATTAAAAACAAAAATTCACAAGAATACACACGCTTTGAAATCATAGTGCTTGTACAAAATAAATACAGCTTAATGAAAATCCAGGGGAAAAAATTGGACACACAAAGGTAAAAACATCCAGGAATAAATTAAGTGTGCTTCATGTTTGCAAAAAAACAAAACAATGAGTCCTCTTCTTCTTTTCATCACGCTTAACAATCTTTGCAGAGCCTCCCTCTCGTCTATGTCGGGCAAACCACTGGAACAACAGCAGAGATCAATATTAACAAAGCTGCGATGGAGCCGCTGACACAGCCTCAGTATAAGGCATTAATTACAATCCAGGAGATAAAGATGAGGAAAAACAAAAGGATGTACAAGAGCAACTAAACCTATTTCTGGTGCAGGTCAAGTGATTCAAATACAGCCTTAGCTGTGATTAATAACTATTAATCCTTATAGCAGTGTCTCATATATTAAGTGCTGGGTAAACAGATCTCTATGTGAGTGGTTGTGAGTCACAGTCTGCAGGTCTGGACACTAACAACCGTGCAGGAGAGAGGGGAAGTGCGAGGGAAAGCATCGGGGTCATTCTGCACTACAGTTCAGTGGTCAAGAGGAGGCGCTCTCTCATTATGAGTAACACCACCACAACACTCATAATTGAACTGTCACAAACCTCTCCATCCAGGGCTCACACCAGAGCTACGAGTGTGGGGCAGCGATTTGTTTTGAAGAATAGCACAAAAGAAATACAGGAAGAAAAAATAAAGACATGAAACAGAAAGTGAAATGTGGACGACACAGTCAAAAGGACAGACTGCAAATATTTAGAGATACTAAAGCTCTGTACTCGGTAAACATCATGTGCACAGTGTTTACAATTCAAGTAGCATTTTTAAAATATGACCCATTGCTAAGGGTGTAATTCACCAAAAATTAAATGGGATTTCAGTGTATTTTATTTGAAATTACAATGTAATTATATTTACCTACGAATCCTTATCCAGTACACAGTGCAGAATAAAAGGGTAACAGTTCAGGTTTTTACAGGAAAGGACACTCAAATTATACTGAGAGCAATTTTAAATAGTGTGTAAGTAACTGTAAGCAGTGGTGCACTGAACTCGTCTTTTTGCTTTATGGATGTTCCACTATTCACCTGCCCTGTTATATAACATTACAAGAAAAAACAAACTCCACCAAACATCGCAGGACATCCATCAAGGCCCGTGAAGTCGTATAGTGATGAGTCAGTGATTATTGCATTTACAGACTTCATGCCACCCACCCATCCACCGGGCAGGGTGAAGAAAGAAATAACTACTGTGGGTGGATGACATCAGCATTTAACCCCATTAGCCTTTTATGACTGAGGGGTAAAAAACCTGATTAATATGAGTGAAAAAAGACTAATAGAATCATTTTAATGCATATCCACAACAAGAATAAACTGTTCTTTTAACCAAGAAAAACCTTAAGGTTGGTTTTCAATTGGAAAATTCAAGCAAAACCTTGGGTTAATTTGGGGTTTCTACACAAAAACTACTACACTACACTCTTCCGCAAACTTACCTGGAAGTAACACACCTCTTACAATGAATTTTGCACTACTTCAAGTAATTCACGCACTACTTAAAATGAGTTACTATGTATTTACTATATAATTTTTCTTACTTCCTATATAATGTGTTTTCTCCTGTAAAATTACAATGAAATTACTTGCAGTAAAACATTTTTCCAGTAAAAACTTGACTACTTATTGATACACTCCTTATTGTAGTTCATTCACCCATAAGTATGTGTAGATTAACATAATCACACTGTAATTTCAGACTAAATGATATTAATTCCAGTAAATTCCGGTTGAATTACACCCTTAGTTCAGACCCTATTATAAAGTGGTACCAAAAGTAATTTTCCAAATTTATTGCTGATACAGTCTGAAAGTGATTTTGAAGGATCTGCTGGTGTGTTCAAAATACTTAATGAAGATTTACCAGCAAGAAACCAGATGTTAAATTTGGACTTTTACACAATCAGGTTTTATTACCTCTCCGAAAAACTTTAAGCCAACTCCACAACAGGCATATCAAAAGGCGACACATAAGGGGACGATGCTTTAATGGGGTAATAGAGAAGACCCGTTTTCATCACTGTACACAGGCCAAAGTCACCCCCTAAAGGCTTGTTTAGATGCAGGAAAACGCTCACAGTCTAGCTTGGAGTTAAAAACTCACGTTGAAGCTTTCAGAGGATTTTGTAATGAACTGAAATCAAACGAATTTGAGCATCAATGATTTACAACATATGGTTGCAGCATATATAACCGCTGCCGCGTCCCTTTGAGCTTACATCATCA